GCTTTGAGAGCCTTTCATAAGGTAATACTTACCATAACTTTATGGAGTCCCACCCTATCCTCCCTTCTTCCTTATCTGTCTGGCCGCCCCTCCGTGGGGTGCTCCATACAGGTTATTAGAGGAAGGGAGATCACTCTATGTTCCTGCCGTGATGGCACATGGATCGTATGGAGGGTGGAATTTGTTGAATCTTTTGTTGATGGATACAAAGATGGGTGTAGGTACTGTATTTGCATACTAAAATTATGGTAAGTATTACCTCATAAAAATTGGTTTTACATGAAAATCTCAAGTTAGCGTTTTCATGACACCATGCATTGTCTTATATAATTGTAAATTTCGGTCTTAAAACCATTATAAATGAGCCAATTTGAATCGGCATAACCTGAGCAAGCTTTCTTGACCAAGTAATTTTGACAAACTCTGTAATGTTTTACACTCAGATTCCCGTCTTGTTACCAATGATACGTCTTTAAAAGGCACATCTTCTTTTGATAAATTACAAGCCACACTTAATCAGGACTTAGAATATTGAAGTAACAGTGTCTTGTGAATTTTAACCCAAGCAAATCAGAAGTCATTTTTATAACAAATTCGGTCAACTTGAATGGTGATCTGGAACTGAAATTTAATGGTGTAATTTTTAATTTCAGTGATTGTCATGGGCAGCTGTGCATCATATTTAATTCTAAAGGCAAATGGGGTGACCATACAGTAGAAAAGATCATTGCTTTAAGAAATTAAAAATATATGGATAAAAACGATACATTGTTAAAAATATGTAGGAATTTTGTCTTGCCAGTGTTACAATATGCTAATGAATTATGGAATGGGTATAGAGTGGATAACTACAATTTATTGGAAAAAGCCCAGTGTCAGACTGCGCGTATTATTACAGGTTTACACACTTATGTAAGTAACAATTCCCAGTTTATTGAAACAAGTCTTCAAACACTTTCGATTTGAAGGCAAAGAAGGAAATTACAATTATTGTACAAGATGAAAAGTGGTTTAGCTCATGACTTTTTAAATTATGTATTACCTCCAACAGTTGGTCAATCTTTTCCATATCTGGTAAGTAACATACAGGATTTCGTAATAGAATAGATGTTCCTATAAAACAACCAGTAGCAGATCTGAGTGTGACGTTTCGATGACTACACGGTAACCTTTATCAGACCAGTGTTAAGTGTACTAGCACCGAAGGTAAGTACGAAGGCTCATCAGACACCATTCTGAGGATTTGGTGGGTTCATGGCATTGCAACAGTCATGGAACTCACAAGACTCTCGGAAATGTCCTAGTCCATCGTTGGGATAAAAAAATCCAACAGAACGTCGCAGATTGTGAATACAAAATCAGATGCAAGAACTGTGACGCATCATACATGTATAATGGAGAAACGGACAGGTGACTCGACTTAATGAACGTCAGAAAGATACAAAAGCCCAAGACGGCAAAAAATCAGTCCAGTCTTAGTTCAGTTAATTGGAACTTACAGATCATTCCCCAAAACAAAATCATATAAGCAGGGGAAATTAAAAGATTATAATATTAAAAAGTCGGAGGTCATAAAAAAACCTTTTCAGGCGACTAGTAAAAAAAGGTCATCTGGATATGGCATAACAGTCCGCTCCTAAACCCCGATGAGTGAGACCACAGGTTCTTTGTACATCTACAACAAAGTACTATTGTTAAACAAAGCTTAGCCTACAGTGCATTTTTACTGTATTGTGTACTTTTTCTTCTATAATCTTTTTACCATCAATGTGTCAATGTCGGAAAGGTCTTTGGAAATTTAATAACTCTCTACTGTATGATTTAGAATATCTAGAATTATAGAAATCATGAACATTAAGCTGCAGTATTGTTTGCCTGTTTATGATTTAAATCATAAAAATCTCATTTGTGTGAATTACAGTTTATTATAAACTGTTTTTAGAAACTCTTTTAATGGAAATAAGAGGCAAGACAATCTCATATGCTTCACATAAGAAAAAACCAAGTTAATACCAGAGAAGAACGGCTTAAAAACTCTATTGCATCATAGAGGCTAAAACTGATCCAGACCAGGAGCAACTAAGAAAGATTTAGAATCGCTAAGGTCAGAGAAGATAAAGGGGAGCCTAATTAGATCAAGAGCAAAATGGTTAGAGGAAGGGGAAAACCTACATCATATTCTTTAATTTGGAAAACAGAAACTTTATTTTAAAAATTATACCAAAAATTCAGGAGAATGGAAATATTATTTCGAAACAAGATGGTATTTTAGCTGAAGTTAGGTCTTATTATGAAAATTCATACACGTTTAGAGAAATTGAAAATGTTGATTTAGAGCTACATTTGAATAATTGTGATGTTCAAAGGTTAGAAAAGTCAGAAACGGACAGTTTAGAGGGAAATATAACACTAGAAGAAACAGGTCAAGTTCTTAAAAACATGAGAAGTAACAGTCTAGGATCAGATGGTTTCACCACAGAATTTTATAAAGCTTTTTGGAAACAGTTAAGTAATTTTATTGTCCGTTCACTGAATTATGACTTTTTAGTAAATCAGTGCTCTGTTGCACAGAGACATGGTGTTATTGTTTGCATCCCAAAGGGAGATAAGCCACGCCACCTTTTAAAAAAAATTGGAGAACTATTACTCTCTTAAATGTTACATATAATATAGCTTCTGGTGTTATGGCACACAGAATTAAATCAGTTTAAGACAAATTAATAAATAAAGACCAGACAGGCTTCTTATCAGGAAGATATATTGGAGAAAACATTTGTACTGTATATGACATTATTCAAAATTTAGAAGAGCAAAACCTTCCAGGATTGCTAATGCTAATTGATTTCGAAAAGGCTTTTGACTCAGTTTCATGGGGTTTTGTTGATAAAGTGCTGGATTACTTTAATTTTGGGGTTGACATTAGAAAATGGGTCAAAATTTTTCATAGTGATGTGAATTTCTGCATTAATCAAGGAGTAAACATTTCTGGAACGATAAGAAACCAATGAGGTTGTCTTCAGGGGGATCCAATTGCCCTATACTTATTCATACTGTGTGCTAAAATATTGGCTGTCAGAGTAAGATATAACAATTTTCTTACTGGTATTGTTCTGGAAAATGTTCCAATTTTAAATGTACAGTAGACAGATGCAGAAATTTTGGGTCTAAAGATTAATACCAGCAAAATTCAGGTCATATGGTTAGGAAGCTGTAAGTATAGTGATGTTACCTTTTGGCCAGATTTGTATTTGCAGTGGGGAAAAGATAAATTTACCTTCTTAGGGATCAAGTTTTCAGTTGACTTTAGTCAGATTCCATATGAATTTTGATCAAAAGATTGTGAAACTTAAATCACTTCTTAATACAAAAGATGAAATTTAACACCAATTGGCAAAATTAATATTATCAAGGCGCTAATTATTTCACAACTGAATTATCTATTTATCACTCTCCCGGATCCACCTGAGAAACATATCACACAAGTAAACTCTCTATTATTTGATTCTTTGTGGGGTGGAAAACGGCACAAAATTAGAGAAGAGGTTGTAATTAAAAAATATATAGATGGTGGTTTGTAGACGATAGAGCAACATGCTTTTAACCATTCTCTTAAGCTAGGTTGGGTGAGGAGAATCATTCATGCTTCTGGCAAAGGGAATCAGATTCTAAAATCAACTGTAGACTATAGTAAATGGTTTAACTGTGGGAAAGAATTTATTCATATATGCAGATGTTTTCAAAGCCTGGGACATTTTGAATGATTCAGAATCTATGAAACTTACCAGAAACTCCTATATGGTATAATAATGATATTCAGGTTAACAATAAATTTGTCTATTATGCAAACTGGTCCAGGGCTGAGGTTGTTATTGTGAATGATTTCATAAAAAGTCCAGACAATAATACTTTTTATTCATTTGAGGAATTTCTGCAACACTTCCAAATCAACACCAACTTTTTAAAATATTATGGGTTGGTGACAGCTATCAAACAATTTTTGAGAGAATTTGATTAACAATTGGAACTACTGCCACAGCTTTTCATTCCTCAAATATTAGAAATGTTTTTAAGAGTACTAGTTGGTCATGATAATGAAGCTGACAGTTTATTTTATGTGAAAATGGCAAGGATGATGATCCTCATTTTTGGCTTGTTCATGACCATAATGATGATGTTGATGATTATGATATGTGTTGATAATGATGATGATGGTGAGGATAACATTTTTAATGATGAAGTTGTGTTTAGCTGAAAGGTGTGTGAGTATGATTTTGTGTTTTATCCATCTTGATGTAAAATCTTTTAGAAAATAAAATAAATTTAAAAAAATTAAAAAAAATCAATGGGTAAAGGTCACTCATATTAACAAACTTGGTAGCCCTCCAACCAAGCATCATACAGGCCAAATATCAGCACCCTGTGCCTTTTGGTTTTTGAGAACTTGTTTAAAGATTTCAACACATTTGATCCCAGTGACCTTGAAAGTGGATCAAGGTCATCCATTTAAATAAACATGGTAGCCCTACATCCCAGCATGTGACAGGGCCATCTGGTCAGATGACCTGAAAATCCAAGGTGGTCGTTTATCAGATTTTTTTTGGATCAGTCCAAAAATGAAATCATGCACAACTAGGGAGTCAGGGAAATCTACCCATGAAAGTTGAGAATAATCTATTGGAATTCCAGAAATAGTGATTACAATCTTTTACTATCAAAATCTCTGATGACAATGTTGTTTGGACCATGGATGCAAGGCAATCTGACCAGCCCACAATCATCATAAAAACTGAAGTTTCCTCCTAGCACATCTGCCGAACTGGTAGAAACTATGATGCTTGTCAGAACATCAGGTAAAATTAGCATCAATGACCTTATATATATATATATGTGTGTTAAGTTGCTTTTCTGAAAAATATAAATTCTCAAAGTATTATGTTGTCATAATAATCAACCTACTATTAACTAAAATCATCAAAATGCAACATTCCAGAACAAATATGGGGAGACAAGCAAATAGGATCTTTATTGATGACAAATCAGAACACTTGTTTGCACTGTAATGAATGCTTACAAGTTAAATTTCTTTAAAAATGAATTTAAATGTTTGAAGTAAGGTACTTGTGATATCCTCAGATATGAGATTATATACAATTGTAAAATAGTTTTAGGAATTATCATCAAGAAGTATGGGTAATTAACACTCAGAACACATTTTTGATTTATCAATTTTCCCTATTTACATATCAGCTGATATTTTTTTTATAATAATCAGATTATTTTCAATATGTGTTGCTACTGCTAGGATTCCACTTAATGCATTGTACAATTATTTCGCTATGCTTTGTTTTCCAAAACTCCTCATTTCCTACAAATTACTATTTTAATCCTTTCCAAACCATAAACAATCATTATCTGATTTTGTAGTGATAGATATGTAATTCAAATGAATTCATACTCAAATAACAATAATTCACAACACATAGGTTACTATTTCAATAACTTAAACCATCAACTCCAAAACAGTGCAAGTTTGTATCTGTCAGTGAAGTTATTTAGTTCAACACCAAATTAAAACTTGGATAACACTATAAATATTCATCTACCAGTCATCCTCATCACTGCTGTCATCCTCACCGCCTCCACGAATAATTTTCTTCTGATGACCTAGAATGGCAGGTTTCTTTGTTGGTTGACCTCCTGGAGGGGTCAGCAGATCGCCATTGTAATTGATGATGGTGGCAACGCCCAAACGCCATTCCATCATTTCTGTTGGAAAGTCATCCTTGCCACCAAGGTCATCAAAACCAACAATGTAGTCTGTGGTCTTGCCATCTTTAGCAATACACAAGGTAGGCAAAACAACTATTCTTAAACGTTCAACCAAGAATGGACACTTTTCAACATTAATTTTAATGAACTTAGTTTCTAAATGCTTAGGAGCTAAAATGGCCAGATGTTTGTCAACAATTTTACATCTAAAGGTACTTTCTCTGTAGAAATGGCAAACAACTTGTTTACTTTTCTTGCATTCGTCAAAAAACTCCTTTTCGTTGGCAATTTCATGGTATTTGCCATGTCCAGCAGCAAGCCAGTCCTGCTTTTGTGACTGTGCCTTTCTCATGTTGTCCATTCTCTTCCTACGAAGGCTTTCAAAGTCATCGTCATCCATCTGTTCCATCTTTTGTATCTCAGCGTCGACTTGCTGCTCCATGACGTTAGCTGCATGAAGGAGCTGCTGCTCCATCGCATTTTCTATAGCAGCATTCATCTTGATCAATGTGATGACACTCTGTAACAGAAGATGTTAGTACTTAATATCAAAATGATTCATCCTTAATACATCATCATTTTTGGGCCTTTTTCACCATTTGTATTTTGTGTTTAGGTATAAACTTAAAGAGACTTAATTAATTTTCAATTAACTATTGTGAATGCAGAACTGTTCTAGATATAACATGCATGCATCATTTGATTTATACAGATTTACAAAACTCATGAAGTGTGAACTCATGAAATCTTAATTTGTTAATAAAGAATTCCAGTTGTTCATGTATGAGTAACGGGACATAGGTGCCTTATAGATTCTGAAGAAAGATTCAAACCTGGTACCTCTTGCTTACTAGTCTGACTCTCAACCAATCTGGTTAACAAGAACTTTTCTTTAGCTTGATCGGTTAAGCGTCAGCCTAGTATAATAAGCCAAATGAACAGGAAATGGAAAATCAGACTTGGGATCGAACTCAGGAACTACTGATTAAGTTACCTGGTTGCCAATAACTGACTCATTCCAGTTCCGCTACATGTTCTGTTTCCGTAGCTGAAAACTATATATGTGCCATCCAGCAATGAGCGAGAAACGTCGCCAAATTTATAAATAGGTGATGGTTGATGACCAGACGCATGGCAGCCTGCTTCCTATTCCCGAGGAAAATTTCTATTCGGATGTTCACTTTCTAATTTACAACATAATACGATAGTGTTTACCAATTGACTATGATTGACTTAAGAAAACACATAAATATAAAAACGTTTATATATAAATATCTGATATATGATTTATTCATCTGGACATTGTCCCTGACCAGTACCGAGTCACAGAATACCGACCTGTCAAACTGATCCTTTGTCGGGTCTTTATGTCCAAAATGATATAATCGGACACTTTTTCTCAATTAGTTGTAAATCATGTGGGAAAAGTTTTCAAGTAATAGTAAAACATACCTTTCCTTAATGTTCAAATTAAGAATTTCCACGAAACTTGCACGGAAAACGTACGACCGGTCCCAACGTGTGCTGAATATGTTCCATCGACGGAAGAATCGGTAATTTGATTGGTACATCCTATTGACTTCCTGTTTATATCATCCAATCAAAAGTATTGTAACATAATCGACCTGACCCTAACAACACTATTTTCAAAACAGAGTGTGACGTTTACCGCATTGCAAAACAAATCAAAGTACTGAAAGTACAGAGAGGCTAAACGTATTGAAAAATGTTCACAAATAACCGCTAAGCTATATTACTTTCCCCATACTCCTACACTTTGGAATGCAAAAATTACTAAAATAAGAGAACCAGAGACTATTGTTTTTAATTTTAAGCGATTTTATATCTTCTTTAATTCTTATTTCAAATTTGACGAAAATAATGTGAATAAATCAAAATAGGTAAAAAAAATAACAAAATACACACAACCATATATTATCGCCAACAAGCCAAATGATAAATAGCTCTATGATGAAGTTGACTAAATAAAACCTTTGAAATACCTAAGATGTTGCAATTACTATCCTATCAATATGAGGATTTAAACAAATCGAAAGGACTTTATACCTACTTCTTTATTTTGAATGTATTGCAAAGTAATAGTCCTTGCTTATTATAATAATATTTGTAGTTGAGGAAAGGAGATAAGGTATACACAGCATTTCAGATAGATAAAAGTGTAAGTAATTACATGAAATGTATTTACATGCCTATCTTCCTTGAAGTATCATGGTTAGACTTTTCTTCCAGTAATTATGTCTATAAAGGCATAGTTCTATGAGATTAAACCAGACTTCCATATATATACAAAATTTACAATATTTTCATTATAGCTACTACTATTTCTGATCACCAATGCATTAAATAATGTCACCATGACACGCTAAACGAATAAATATATTATGGAAATATTTCGTTCTAGTTAATTGATAATTATAAACATGAAAATTTTGGGGGTTTTTATACGCGCTTTGTTTGAAGGTATATTTTCATTTCAAGGAACTTTGATACACATTAACAAACATTGAGAAATCAGCACAATCAACTTTCATCAAATAAAATAAAATAAGACAAAAAATATAAGTTATAACAAAGTCAACATCATGATCAGTACAGTACTAAAAATATTTCATTCATAAATCATGAGCACCAAATGTACCTTGCCTACGAAGCGCAAACTTTTTATCTTCAAAAACTTGAAAAAGTGTCTTAGCGGTGGATGTGAAAATCCTGAAAAAGTGTCATATCGGCGGGTGTGCGCGTAGGACGAACAGTCAAATTTTGTGACGTCTAATGAGGCAAAGTGATGTTATGTATTAAGACGATCTTGCCACAACGACAAGGATTAAATCAAAATTGATGTTCTGTTTGTAAGTTTTGTTTTTTATAAGTGCTGTTAGTTGATAATTCAAACCAAGTCCCCAGACTAGCTTCTTATCATGGCGCCAACTCGCACGTACAGTGTTCTATACGCTTACGTCATGTCGAGAATTCCGTAAAATATATTGTTCAAAATTTATCAATAGTTCAACAACACTGTGCTTCTTTTTTGAAATATATAGTAAAATAAACTAATTTTGGATGCTTTTGAAATAGCGAGTTGAAAAATCGCGGCATTATTTACGCAGAAAATTGCCGCTAGAGGGCTCTAACTCTTTTCGATATTTCAACCAACGAGAAGGCCAGGATCGGTAAATTTTGTCAGAAAGGCCGTCACAATAGGCTGGCTATGCGTACTGAGTACGTTAAGCCTAAAAAGCACGTGGTCACCGTGGCCACAAATAAACAAAATGCGATGTCACATATTCTAATTAAAGACACTAATAGTGTTTATTAATTCACTAACTAATTACTGATATCATTAGCTGGAATAAGGATAACTGAATGAATAACTGATTTGTTGTAAGAAGTACTGAACAAGAATGTCGCGAGGCGGGACGAATAATATCATGATAGGCATAAACATGTTATTTTTTATATCATAAATGGTTATTGGTGCTCTAGAAATAAGATTCTGTAAACATGAATGGCAAAAACAAAATAAAGAAGAGATTTTTTTCACTTCAATAGCGATTCCATCGATCCCTGGCAACTTCAAAACTATAAGAGATTCACTCATTTCATTTGCGTTAGTTATTTCAGTCGATTAAACAAGATATTTTCGTTAGGCATTGCTGTCATGGTTACTAGAAATTAGAGTGAAATTCCCCTATATTTGCAAATGTTATTTATTTTAATGCGACAGCACTTCGGTCTACATGAAGTGACAATTTAAACGTTTACCTTGAGTTACGTGAGTTCGCAAGAATTGACATGTAACTTACAGAAGTCTTATGTTCGGTAGCGTACACGTTTTGGTTACATTACAAAGCAAAGTCTACAAAAATATCAACATTTAAAAACACTCAGCACAATCCCTTGGTTAAAGATCCGACAGGCAGCCATCTTGGATTTTGGAAGTAAAAGTTTGTTACCGCTATTTCTTGGAAAGTACTGGATGGATCTTTCTCAAATTTCATATGCAGGTTCCCTTTGGTTCCAAGTTGTGCATTATACCTTTTTGGACTGATCCGAAATCAAGATGGCTGACAGGCAGCCATCTTGGATTTTTAGAGTAAAATCTTGTTACTGCTATATCTGAGGAAGTACTGGATGGATCCTTCTGATATTTCATAGATATTGGTTTCCCTTGGTCCCTAGTTGTGCATTGTACCTTTTTTGGACTGATTTGAAATCAAGGTGGCCCACAGGCAGTCATCTTGGATGTCGACAGTAATACAGCACCAGCATATTGTCCATTATCCACCTGTAACTGACTGCTATCTAATAATACTTTGGGATCTTTTTCAAATGATATTTGCTAATAGGTGCTTAATAACTATATCTTGTGCCATCATTGAGTACATTCAATGAAGACCAGTTCGTGAACATTTACAACACCTGTAACAAACAAAAAAATATAAACAAATCTTCAAGAACTGAAAACAGATCCTCAAATGGTGGGCGCCAAGATCCCTCTGGGATCTCTTGTTAATATTGTTATCTCTCCCTTGATAAACACTAAACAATTACACATGTCAAGTTTGTTATTGGGTTTCCTTCAGAACTGCTAAATAGATCATTCTCAAAGTTGAAATTTAAGTCCATCTTTGTTTAATAGGGAGTGATCAGGAAAACAAACTGGACGACAAATCACAGGGGATAGACGCACAAGGAGATATCTGGATTTTTTTTTTTTTTTTTAATTTTGTTTTTCTTTAGAATTTCATTCTAGATCCGACATAGATATTAAGCGTATACAAAATCCTCATCAAAAGAAGTATAATAGGCTTGAATCTGGAACGTGCAAATAGTATTCTAGATAAAAAAACCCACCTTGATTTAGAACAGATTTGCAGTGTTGTTATCACTTATTAAACACTAAAATGGATGATTGTTATCATTACTGCTTAGGAAGTACTAAATGGGTCATTAATAAAACGATGGGTTTCCACTGGCTCTTGTTTTCGGGTGGAATGTTGGAATGTTGAAAAATCCACATGGACTAGTTCGCCATCTTGAATTTTATGAAAGTATTTTTGTATTGCCATTTCTCAGAAACATTACAGATTTTCTTGAAAATTCAATTATAGGTTTCTTACCCAAGTTGAATTTGGTTGTAAATTTGAAGATACCAAATTGATCATTTGTACGTACTTTTCGGGCCTTACATTTTAATTCTTCAACTGTGTGATTATATTGAAAACTATGCAGACGGAAAAGAAACCATTTAGATAAAGACACTTGTCGACTGTTTCAAATATTTCTCACAGCTTATGCTGTGATAGGCATCCGTCCGGCAATAACCGCCTCTCTTGAAACGAGGTCTTCTCAATAACCAAAAGACCTATAATCCTAATATTTTACTGGAAAGTTTCTTGGATAAAACGCGTCAAAGTTTATGAAAAGAAATAACCTCATTCCATATTCAAGGTTCAATGAGTCAAATTTGTCACAGATGCTTAGCTGAAAGGTTCCTAGAATTAAGTCCCACAAACTTTGCAAAAGAAGTGACCTTAACACATGTTCAAGATCACAGGGGTCACATTTCTCAAAACCTTCAAACAACTTCTCAATAACCAAAAGGCCAAGAATCATATTTGGGCTGAAGGCTCCTGTACAGGAAGAGTTTCAGGTTTGAATTACATATGTTTGTGGATTCAGCTGTGTAAATGTTTGAATACCTCAATGTATATGCTTCACTGATCTTGTCGGCCCGAAATGTCTAGCATACATTTTTAAATGGTGTTCTTGCTGTCGTTCTCAGTCTGTTGTATAACTGTTGTTAAAATAAGTCAATTTTTTTTAAAGTAACTGGCTTTTAATGTTAACAGAAACAAGGATATATTCATATAGATCCGCCAAGAGAGTCCAGGCATGGACATGATATCTTGCTCAAGGGATTTAATAGAATGTCAAGAGGTAATGGATGGAACAGAAGTGGTTACTTAGTCTTATTAATGAAGTTATTTAAATGGTTTTGAGATATGACATACTAGACCCCTAGATTGATGTGTGTAGAAGATATTGTGTGTGTTGGTGTCAATAAAGTCACCTCTGCATCTCAATTTTATCCACGGTTTTTCAAGCAGTACTGGATCACAAATGTTGAGGGGCTGTTAATTATCAAATTGTTCAAGCATTAACATAAATCATAATCAGTAAGCTCAACTATATTTTCTCTATTTCTTGGGCCTACCAGCAGTAAATTTTAAGGATATTTTTCAAGAATTATTGGATCATAGTTGATCTTAATTACTTATAACATTAATATTATACATAAGCATATATATGAGGTCTAAAAATGGGTAAACTTTTATGTACATGAAATATGTCCTCAATACACCAATAAGGCTGTTGTTCTAAAACTTTTTATTTAATTATTTTTTTTTTATTTTTCCAAGATTTTTCAGTACATGTACATAACACAGGACACACACACACACACACACTTAAGTCATGAGGATGATATCATCATCATCATTATAATGC